AAGTCCGGTCCGAAATTTAACGTGTGGGGTGGCATATCTGTGTTTGGGGCAACGCCCCTCTGTGTATTTGAAGGGAATATGAACAGTGAGCGGTACACAGACATTCTTGAGGGACATTTACTTCCATCTGCTCATGTGTTCTATGGAAATTTTTAGATTTTCCAGCAAGACAACGACCCAAACCATCGTTCAAAGCATTCACAGGCCTGGTTTCGGACCCAAAATATGAAATTAGATTGGCCAAGCTATAGCCCTGACCTAAATCCAATAGAAAATGTTTGGGGGCTTATGAAGGAAAGTGTCAATAAGAAAAATCTGACAAATATTGCTGAAATGAAAGAAGAGGTGGTCCGACAGCATGGACCACGACTTCCTAACTTCTTTGATCAGTAGTATGCCCCGCCGCATAAAAGCCTGTATTGCTGCCCATGGTGACTTGACAAAATAGTAACTGTTCACCTGTCTTTGAATCTGGAGTTATGTTCTGCTAATATTCACATCTAATACGTGAGTAATGAGTGAAAAAAATAAAACAATTTACAATCTTTAGATTCTCAATAATTTTTGGTTGTACTGTATATGTGGCAATATCAAACACATGCAGACCCTAAATGAGTGCTCAGGTTTTGGCATTTTTTAATTCAAAGACTGTTCTTGACATGTTTTGTTTTATGATGGCAGAGGCAATTTTACATACTGTAGTAATAGGAGCATATCACTATCAGACACTTCAGCAAAGAGCAACAATCCTTGAAAATCCTTGATACTATATTCTAGTATATAATGTAATACATATGCATCATGCATCGTATTTTGTCACAATAAAAAAGCATGAATGTTATTTTGAAACACAAATTTTGTCGCCCATTTCAGCGCACCTGTTGTTGAGGCCGATGTTTGTAAACGTTGTTGCGTCGGACTAAGTAAAAAACAACAAACTAGCATCAACATGCCTCACAATTATGTTTCTTATCTGCATATTCAGTGTAAAACAAAGAGGTTGTCCTAATATCAACAAATGTTCAAATAAAAGATACTGAGAAACTTGCATGTGGAGTGTTGATCGACTACTGTTTCCGGGTCGCGGGAGTATATAAAGTCAACCTGGTTCCGTGATACGCCAATTATATAGTCAAAAACATGGGGGGTTTTTCCCATGAGCTATGATTAATCATTCTTAATGGTGATTTATGTTAAATTTTGGTTTGCCGGACGAAATATCTCCAAATTTACTGTTAGTATTCAATAAAGTAAGATTTTTACCAGACAACTGTGACATCACATCCGGTAACCTTTGCACCTGCCAGAAAACAAGTTAGATTTCGCGATCTTAATTTTCGTTTCTCTCTTGTCATATTAAATTGAAAATGATAAATGAAACACATGTAGAATGAGAAATGCTTCAACTTTCGCCAGGTCCTGTAAACTTTGTTATCAAAATAGCAATATTTTATTTGGGGGTTGAAGGAAGCGCGCCATGTTTGTTTTTCGTACCTGTAACACGGTGCAACACTGGTTTTCTGTGGGCTTGTGTCGAAAATAATGAACCATAACATTTGAAATTAGGACTCGTGAATATTCATAAATCATATATTTTCTGCAATTTTCATCACTCGACACGTTGGAATATACGTAACAGTGCCATTTGAATAAAATGTGACATCGGAAATACGATTTGTTTAGGACGAACGTTTTTCGAGGTTTTTCAGAAATGTTTTTTTTATTTTGTCTCTATGATCAATTACCTAAACCCTGTGTAATCATAGGGGATTTAAAGGGCCACAACCCACTCTTGGGTGGTACCAATACAAACACCAAAGGTAAAATACTGGATGATTTCATTTCAAATAATGTTTCATGCATTTATAATGACGGCACAAATACTTACTTACATCCTGGCACAGGAACTCATTGAGCTCTTATCTCTTACTGACTCCAACCTACTGAGTGAATTCGAATAGTCAGTCCACGACGACCTTTGTGGGAGTAACCATTTCCCAACATTATTACAACCCGTGATTCCATCTGATGTTCCTCCTACACAAAGCATGAACTGTTTCGAATGACGCTTGTGGATAAGATGTGACGCTTGTGGATAGTTTCTGTAAGGCAGAAGATGAGGACATTTTCCATGTATACTTTGACTGTCACTGTGTCAATAACCTCTGGAAAAAGCTTGAAACAATATTGAACCAGTATGTCCCTAGAGGCATTTCATTGACAAAGCAAACCATATTTGGCCATCCAAGCACACACTCTCATGAATCGTAGTATTCTCAATTTCACATTACAAAAAACTTCAATCATATTCAAAGTGTCAAACAAGATAGAATTACTTTTGAAAAACTTTAAAGACATTCTCAACATTGAAAATTATATTGCTAAGAAATCCCAGACCTTTAACTGCTTCTACAGAAAATGGATGCCTTTAATGCACATGCTTGACATACTTTAGTTTTATTGCTATATGAATGTGTACAACTATTACTGGTATTAAATTATTAATAGTAACATGTACTATGTTCAGTTTCTATATTTGTATATACCAGACCTCTCTAACCGCATCCACAGAAAATTGAGGCCTTTAGTGTACATACTTGAATCACCTTAGTATTACTATTAACCTGAATATGTGCAACTGTAATCACTATATTAATGCCTACGATATTCAGTTTTTGTATACGTATATTCCAGACCTTAAATGGTGTCCACAGAAAATGGACGCCTTGAGTGCACTTACTTCACTCATGTTAGTACTATTACTATCTGAATGTGTTCAACTATTACCAATGTAATAATGTGTACTATATCCACTTTCTGTACATGTTTATTCCAGACAATTAACAGCTTCCAGATGTGATTAGTTCATTCGCTAATATAAATCAACATAAATGTTGTGGGCCTGATAACTTGTTTGGGATTGTCCTTAAGGAATGTAGAGTGCAACTGGCTGTTATTTTTCAAAAGCTATTTCAGACATCAATTGATTCTCATAATGTTCCCATTCTTTGGAAAACCTCTAAAATTGCTCCATTGCCAAAAAAGAAAAAATCCCTCTGTTAATAATGACTTCAGACCAGTGGCCCTAACCCCTATTGCCATGAAATGTTTAGATCGCATCGTTAAGGCCTTATTGTTGAATGAAGTCAGTCATGTTCTTGACCATTACAATTTGCATACAGAGCAAGGCGTTGGGTAGAAGATGCAGCAATCACTGTTAAACAATATCTTGAAGCATTTAGAAACTATGGTACTTATGTGAGATTAATGTTTGTTGATTTTCATCTGCCTTTAATACTATTCAACCTCATTTGTTACTTGATAAACTTTTTAGAATGAATGTAAATTCTAACATCAAATGGATTAATTCATTTCTAGTTAACAGACAACAATTTGCACAGGTTAATAATGTGAAATCAATTGTAAACACATCAACTGGCGATCCACAAGGTTGCGTTATTTCACCAATTTTGTTTATATTGTACACCAATGACTGTGTATCCAACGCAGAAACATGTTTTACAGTTAAATTCGCTAATGATGCTGCATCGGTAGGCCTTGTTAGGGAATCAGAGCTGAAATTTCAAAATTGGTAGAATGGTGTAAATCAAACTTTTCTTTTTTGAATGTGCAAAAAAAGAATCATAGATTTTAGAAAAGCTAAGTCAACAATAAATGCTGTAAGTATTGAAGATAATGAAACAGTAACTGAATACAAATATTTGGGTACTGTCTAAGATTCAAAACTCTCATGGAACGAAAACACTGATAAAGTACATAAGAAATGACGACAACGCTTGCATTTGTTGTGGAAGTTGAAACATTTTAAAATCGAGCAAACTATCATGATATTTTACAAAACCTTTATTCAAAGTGTCATAACTTTTAATTTCATGAGTTGGTTCGGGAACACGTCTGTCCAGAATAAAAGCAAACTCTCAAAAATCGTAAACATTGCGTCTACAATTAATGGGCTTCCAACCGAAATTATCGGCAGTTATGAGCAGAAAATTTCATAAAAGGCAAACAAAATTTTAAGTAATCCTACTCACATACTTTTTCGGAACATTCATCATTATCTTCCGGACGCAGGCTGCGTATGCCGACTTTTGGAACAAACAGGGTCCGCCACATGTACACATGTATTAACAAAATAAATGAATAACTTGTCTTCAAAATGTCCAAATTCTAGTTAATATCAAGGTGGAGGTGAGGTGAAATAGGGTTTTACGTCGTGCCTGAGAATATTTCGCTCATATGACGACGTTCATATGTGAAGCTGCTTGTACTAGCTCAGACTTAAGCTGGTTTTATAGTGCTAGCCCACTGAGATACTATGCAGTGAAGCATGCATACCCCACTCAGACATATTATACTGACTCCGAGCCGACCAGTCCTTGTTGAACCCATTAATGCCGAGCTCCTGACAGGGACCAACAAGTAACATATTTTAACGTCTTTTGTATGACGCGGTCGGGGATCGAACCCGCGACCTTCCGCTCTCCGGGCGGACGCTCTAACCACTACACCACGGAGGCGGTCAGTCAATGTTTGTGTACTAGATTGATGTATTTATATCCTGATTATTTTGAACAATAGTTTTGATCATCATTTGCAATGTAATATATGGCTGCTTTATGAAAGTAAAACTGGAGAACTGCATATGATGCAACAAAAAAATTCCCTTGGGATAATAAAGAAAACATCTTATCTTAAAATGTGTTTTGGACGTCTTCAGATGGACAGCGTGATCGTCTAAAAATAGCAACCAATGGAAAATGACGTAACATTGTCAACGTTGGTTTTTCGTAGGCCTTCACAGCCATCTTCTCCATGACCTGTACCGGCTCGTGCGATATGCTAGACGGGACCCAGCTTACCGCAAGCTCTGCACTGGATTGACTGCTATATAGCGCTTGCGCTCCTTGCCGGCCTACTTGAAGCCGGTCGGCGGTAAAGAGCGGGGATACTAGTCTAAACCCTGTCGCTGTACGGAGTCTCTCACCACTACAGGCGCGAACAGAAGCCATTCATTGCAAGGTATAAGATATTTTCTGGAAGCAACACAAGTTCACAAGGTAAGTTTCCTAAACAATATGAGGACCTTTGCCCAAACCGTTTGAGCGCCATGCTTTGCCTGTGTGGCTATGTCACATGTGTATGTACAATTGTACATTTGATTGTGAACCGGGCAGAAGGATAAAAGGGCCGATGTGAAACTGAAAGTCAAATGGGACGTGACAATGTCATAAGTCATAAAGTTGGGCCGAACAGAAAGTTTTTAGAAAGGTTTTCCACTATTTACTGACCATTGAAACATAATATCATCATACATTATTAAAATGGTAATGGCATGGTATATAAAAGCCAAGCATGTAGCCAAGTTTTCATGTAATGGCAGTACATATAGTTCATAATATACTTAATCATGTTAATTAACACAACTTCACATAATTAACAAATAAAATAATACAAGTTCATTTGTTCATAATTTACACAAGTTACAACCCTTGTGAACCACGTTATTAATTCATAAAATTCCTTTACCGTAGCGCGTTCACAGCTGTAAGGATGTGTGAAATGGTTGAAAATCATTTAAATTATTCAAAATAGGGAGAGGAAATACAGTTTCTTTACACTGAGGTCGTTTCACAGTTCATAAAGGTGGTTGATGCAGGTGGGTAGAGATACATAATCATCATGATCATGATAATCCAAACAAATTAGAACTTTTCATTTTCTGAATTTCCTTTATCGCATTTCTTAGTATAGAATACTTAATAGTTTACTTTCCGAAAACAGTAACACTGACTGCTTCTTAACTTACGCCTCTGACCAATATTTTTACACTGTATGAAGGTGGCCCGTAAATATAAACAAATTCCAGTTATTGATAATCAGGGAACATGTATGGAAACATTGTTATTACATACAATTCTGAAAGTGGGCAGTTTATCAATAGCTGAACAATGTCTCTTTGGCTGGGATGTGCAGTATTTCAGCAAGCCTTATTAAAAAATTTAAGACCCATATTTATTTGTGAGGGTGAAGTTCACTTGTGAAATGTGAGCAGAAGATGTCTGGTTTCTGGTACATTTATTTGAAGCATGATGTCATGTGAGTTGAACAGAGGCAGTTTAGGACAGGATTTGTTTATCTATAGACCTCAAAACTCAGAGCAAATGGGCATATCACTGTTTAAGTTAGTGTTCATATTAGTATAGGAAGGGCCATATGTTTACGGAAGTGACGTCACGAACTATGCTCACTCGGGCACTGGTAGACAGAAAGCAACAATGGCTAATGATAACAATGCGAGCCGTTCTAGCGTAAAAAAAAACAAAACAATCGTGAGATTATGTACTTAATATGCCCATTGAGGCACGCGAACGACACGAGACAACGCTGAAGTATCGACAGGGCACTTGTACTTTGCCTGACCCGTATAGTTTACGAAATGGCTGGGTTGAAGATCCGACAACATGGCCAGGGATAACTTTCTCGGATATTTATTTCTATCTGATGGACACTCCAGGTCAGTTCACCCACAATCGAGAGCCTTCGAGTCACTGAAAGCCTATGAATATGTGGAAAATGGACGTTTAAAGTTTTCCCATACAGTACCACAAAGTCAATGACAAATCACCTGTGTTTGATGAGAACAAGGTAATCCTTCTCAGCGTCTACGTGAGAAACCACACCAGCCATGGGCCTGCATCAACAAGGCAAATAGAACAGTGTACTGTGCACATGTATAGCAGGGTATGCAATTATATCTGTTACTAAATAATTAATCATCTGAGTTTACTTTGTATAGTTTAATTTTAACTGTATTTTAAAAGCTGTTAACTATCTATTTCTCATAATAATAAAATGATTTTTTTAATAAGCCAATAAGTCAAAATATTTGTCAAATTTTTATACATTTTAATTTTTCAGACTTAGGGAGGTTTACAGTCACATAGCAGCACTGCTGTTTAAGGTGGATATGGCTGAACGAGCTGGAGTTAAATCAAAGGCATGCACAAGTGATGCCTCCAATTGGAATTCTGCTTATAGAAAAGAGGTGTGTACAAATTAATGCAGTATTGAAATATGAAACTCAATAAAAAGTTAACAGATGTTGAAAACTCTTGTATAGTTAAGATTACTATATTTGGTATGTTTATATGATATATTTCCTGATCTGTTTGATTGGCATTTAGAAGTTGGTGACTAATAAGAAAGTAAGATTGTTTATGGATAACAACTTCTTGTATTATATATGATGTGACGTTTAGGTATGGATTCTTATACCGTTGTCAAGCAAGAGTGAAGTACTACAGCACAGAACAGACTTTTATACATGAACAGGGATTAAGTAATAACAACATGTAGGTATGAATCAAGGGGATTAACAACAAGGCACAGTGGTAATAATGTATGACAATAGGAGGAAACCAATGGTCCTAGACGCCAAAACAAAATATACATGGCTGATGAGATTAATTAGCAATGATAGCTGGAGTCCTCTAATCTGTTGTTTTTATCAGCTTATTGTATGCAGAAGGGATGAGATATCCCTGGTCTCTGTTGATTGAGGGCTTGTCTCTGGATTTGAACTGCTTCTGCAAGTTTTCTTTTGGTGAAGTCCTGGTGGTTTTTCGGTAATATCTCTACATTGTCCCAAATTATGTTGTGATAGGGACAGTTGATGTGGTCTGATAGTGCTGATTTTCTGTGAGATTTAGTGGTAGATGACAAGTGTTCTTTCATTCTGATATTTATTTTAGATATATTTCCTGTTTAATTTGTAAATATGTCTGTTCTCGAATTCACTGTAATATATACACACACATATATGTATATATATTGTTTTCAGCCTTATGCAGTCCCGACGAGTGACGTTCATTTTTTTTTGGGAAGGAAGCAAGCAGTGGAGACGGTGTCAGCTAATGGTGGAGCACCACTTCCTGATATAGATACCCTACGGTCACTGAAAGCTGTCTGCCCTGATGCCGTGTTTTTCACGACCATACCCCCACTGGATGAAGAAGAAACTGACAGTACTGATGAAGATGAGGATGAGGAGCCTTATGCAGTCCCGATGAGTGACGTTCATGAGAAGAGCGCGGTGTCAGTTTTTGGAGACGGAAGCAAGCAGTGAAAGTCTGCCCTGATGCCGTGTCAGCTAATGGTGGAGCACCATGCTTCCGATGAGTGATATAGATGAACGGTGTCCTAATGGTCACTGAAAGCTGTCTGCCCTGATGCCGTGTTTTTTAAGACCATACCCCCACTGGATGAAGAAGAAACTGACAGTACTGATGAAGATGAGGATATGCAGTCATTCCCACCTTCACTTACAAGTTTAGAATGTAATGCTGATGACTTGACAAATGACGACAATTTGGTTTCCATTTGTGAACAACAAAGGAATCAGTATCACTGTGAGCCTGCCCAAATACAAAATCTGGAAGAAGCTACGAGAAACCAATCAATCCCACCAACACGGTCAGCAGTATTATGAGCGAGTGAGTTTAGTTTTACGCCACACTCCGCAATATTCCCGCTACATGGCGGCGGTGTGTAAATAATCGAGTGAACTAATGACACATGTCAACCAAGTCGGCGAGTCTGACCACCAGATCCTGGGATACAACACCAAAGACCTTACTAAAATTAATTGTGGTTTATACCAATATAGACATTTGTTTTTGTGCCAAGCTGGTGTCAAAATTTCTTTTTTTGAACATGTTCTTCCCGCAGAATTGAGAATTCATAGCCAAATATGGAATTTGACACTAAAAAAAGAGGAAGCTGACAATGATTGGTGTTATGGACTAATGATCATGTGAGGGTGCTAACTGTTCATACACATGGTTCAACTTTCCTTGTGTGAGCATCCGTCGAAAACCAAAAGGATCCTGGTTTTGCTCAAGCTGTGTTAAATGGGTTGAAACAAACTCAAATTGAATACACAATGTATTTTATTCTTAGGTATTTGTATTCCACCTACAATTAATACAGGTGTACTACTTTATGTGTGTGAAATCATTTCTACAGCTTATGTCCTCTTAATGTAATAACTATTCTCAATTCATAAGTCACTTCATCCAAAATGTTTGTTTGTGAAATCAATAATAGTTATTGTCATATCATTATTATATTTCAGTTGTGTATAGTTTTGACATATTTGAACATTCTTGTCTGGCATTCCTCTCATTCCAAAAGTTTTGGAAGTAGATTGGTGTTAGCATATCTCAATCTGCAGTGCCATCAGCATGGGGCACCATTGAAAAACTTCAAAATTGTAATTATCAGTCTTTCAATGGGCCTCTCAACATGTATTTTCACACCCAAAAGAGACTGGACAGAGTCTAAGTTGCGATTTCCTCTTTGTAAATGTTTGAATAGCAAGCTGCACTCCACATATTTCATCCGAATAAAAAATCCCCATGCTCCAAAAATCCATATCGTTGTGTTCTCACCTTGTCTGATACTCCGCCACATGCCTACAACTACAAGAACCCCCAGGGGTTGAAATAACCCATTGCCCGACGCTCGAGTCCAGTGTTTTGTTCTGTCTGGCAAGCAAATTTGTATATCACACTGTACCGGTGTCAAGTTGATATTCCAATGTTATGTTTATTAAAAAAATCAACAAGAAAACGGCCGGTATAGTGGAAAGATTATCAGGGCAAGTGATTTTACATGTGCCACTGTACCGGAGTACACTAGCAATATTAAAGTTATTTCCACCCCCCTGACCCCGACAGTGTTGTGGCTCTTATAGTTTGACCAGGCCATTGCCCGAACTGTAGAATTACCGGGTCTCTCTCAATAAAAACTTCAAAATGTAGGGTTATCACTGATTCTAAGATGCCTAACTGTTTGAACAATTGGAAAAAAAAATACATTATCAGACAATAAAGGCATAGTTTTTTTTGATGACGTAACAATTGAATGACGTTATCCCGTCACTGCGCCATTCTAGTGTGCCCCCTCGTAGTCGAACCATTTTTACATTACGTCATCACCTCGTACGGCCTCCTACAGTAAACTACTCCGTTGCATCCTGTTTCTCGGTTTGCAGTTGCTTCACGCAGCTAACATCACTGGTGGAAACATTACACTTATGTTTTACGACGGTTAGAATGTGTCAATTCGACTTAATGTGGGGGGTGGGGCTTCCTCGTACTTTAACTATAATAGTTCAGGGCGAAAGTGTGTTTTATTACACTATACATGATGGTAGAGCGAACTGTATTTCTTAACTAACACTCTTTACTGGCCTTGGTCATAAACCTTACAACTTCTTTCTCGGGCCAGTGAATAAAGGACAGTTCTGTGTAAGTGGAGGCAGGGCGCTGTTCATCACATGTTGCTTTGAAACTCCAGATTGACTAATCCTAATCGTAACTTCATCAAGACAAGGATCAGAACACTGGCAGGACTGAGCTGCATTGATATGGGTATCACAGAACTGAACCAGCCACAAAAATGTTGCATGTCTTTGAATCTCCAAACTTATTCTTTTCAAGTTTTTGTCATGCCTCTCTCAACTCCTGTAAAGTTCCCACTTCTTGAAGCAGCTGTTTGTTCTCCATTTGTAGTCTCAGGATCTTCTGAAGACACGGTTCATGGATATCTGCTGAGAGAAAATTATTTGTGAGATGGCTGTTGAAGTTACATACCAACGTGTTAGGCACAATGAATATATTGCAGGTGTCTACCCTAACTGTATCTGGAAAGTCTTCTAACCACCCTGTTGATGAGTTTAGCATAGATCAAAGCTACTTTTGTATGTGTTTTTGGAAGTTGAAATGGTAACTCAATACCATTTTAAAGATTTTTATTAAACTGTAGAGGCATGTGTTGTAGTTGACAAGGAAGGTTTGGAGTAGTGTTTATTTAAAGGTCACATGCAACCAAAAAATCAAACATAATTAAAACACAATTATCACTTATTCATGACATATTATGACATAATATACATTGCTGGTTATGAAAAAACATATAATTTTGTTTATAAGTGTACAATCGCAAATCAAAAGTGCAATATTGTGTACTTGGGTTTACTTCCCAAGAAACGAAGCAGCCGGCATACCGAACCCAGTCAGAGCGGATGGGTGTGCACTCAAGTGTAACGGCTGGTTCATTTGCAGATGCCCTCACGGCTCATTGTGTGTGTGTGTGTATATAGAGATGTTGGGTTTTGTAAATACATGCTTATTTTTTGTGTATAACATTTTGCAATCAACAGACATCATAACATGTCATGTGTTCAAGTATCACACCTGCCTGTCTGTGTAATTACATAATCTGACAGAGACCGAACTCGGGCCATAAAGCAATGCGTTTTGTTTATGTGAGATATCAACAAAACATTAGGAAAATAGCTCACACCAAAGCCTTCACCGAGTATTCACCGGACAGCCCGCTTCCAAGTTGTGCGAACCTATTTCACTGCGCATGTGCTATGAGCGCAGCCCAGCTGTTGAAACCAGTTTTCCCCTGAAAAGTCGGGGGGAAAATTAGTGAATCGTTTTAACTCCGATTTCGCGCGTTTTTTTTCATCTTTATAAGTTGAATTTACATTTTTGATGATTTGATTTTTTACAGTAAGTCCATACCGAAAGGTATCGGAATCTGCAAAGTTGTGTTTTACGTTGCATGTGACCTTTAACATGTATGACTGGGAGGTGAGGCAAATTAGTGACCTTTAATGATTATGGCATTGACTGAGTGACAATATATTAAGTATGGAAACAAAATAAAGAGTGTGTTCTTGTCGCATTATACAACACAAAGTATTGACTTGCTTAATTCAGAAATTTTAGTTATAGCATATAAATGTCTTTTTCCTGGAATACCTTTGTTTGGTGAGGGTTCATTTTCTTTTTCCTGCTCTAATGGTGCGCTGTTCTTGTTTAATGACAATTTTTATGAGAATGGAAGCAACATCTTTTTAGTGAAGATCCATTTCCTTCAGGGATGTGGACTGATATCCCGTATTCAGATTTTGGGCAAAGTCAGGATTTTTCAGAGCTTGCAGATCCTATGTACAATAAACAATGCAAAATGTGATACATACTTTAATAAATAATGATATTTTGAATTGTTCAGATTACTTAAACATATCTATGGAATTTGAGGCATTTTATAAAATAGTTGTGTGCAAAATTCAAGTGAATAAATATAATATTAACATTTTAATAATGTATTTTACTTGGTAAATAGTTTAAAGCAGTCTAGATTATCAGTCGAAATTGAAAGTCTCTGGGCTCCTTTTTATATGATCATAATGAAATAACGGTTTATTTCGGTAAAATATACTGAAAGGCAAAAGAAACGTAACATTGGAAATGGCGTTTAAGTGTCAATGGAGTAGTTTCACCTATTAGTTTTAAAATATACACTGGAATTCAAGTTTGAGGAAAACACAAATCATGGTCGTATTGCCTGTTTGCCCAATAAAGTATTGTTTGAGATTGACAGAGCTACAGATAACTTTTTGGGTCATTGAGTTATGCACTCGCTGGTGTTCATGTCAATTGGGTATCCTAATTTTCCTTTGAGAAACCAAATTGTACCCTTCTCACTTGGGTATTTTGCCATTAATTGTAAAAATATAATAAAGCTTAAATGTTTGTTATCATTTCTCATATTACAGATCAAATATTTATAAGAGACTGCGAGTGATGAAACAGAACCTTTATATTTCAGTTAATTTATCTATTTTTGGTGTACACATGCAAGATCAAATTTATTGAGTATTTACAAAATTTCAAGGGTGCTTGTACGCAGTAGACTTAATGGGAATTGAGTTTTCACATAAATATTTGCGTAATAAAAGCAGATCCGCAGCTTATGTGTAACTTTGCATAAACACAACATTGAAATCGAGGTGAGATGACTTTGGGTTTAACGTCATGCTTGAGAATATTTCGCTCATATGACAACGTGCATGCGTGTGTATGTGCGGCTGCTTGTACTAGCCCAGACTGAAGCTGGTTTTATAGTGCTAGCTTACTGAGATACCATGCCGCAGTGAATCATGAATACCCCACTTAGACACATTATACTGATTCCGAGCCGATCAGTCTGTGATGTACCCATTAATGCCGAGCGCCAGGCAGGTACCAACAAGTACCATATTTTAACG